TTCCGGTTCGTCCTACTTGTGATTTTAATGCCGTGGCTGAAGTCTTGTGTGGTGCTCCTCGTAACTGGATCAAGGAGCTTTGATTAAACAGTTTGAACTCCTTCCCGAGTTTCAACTGCTTAATCTTATTGTTTGTGCTAATATCATTGTCACCACTCACTCTTCTGAAATTAATCAAGAACAAGGGTTCGTTCTTTTTTGTATTGCTCGTCATATGTCCATCAATCTATCCCCCCTCATTCTTCGTAAGATGATTACTGTTGTTGGCAACAAGCAATTAGGCCTACCTTATGGTTGTTTAATCAATTGTCTATTGTCCTCGTTTGAAGTTTCAGTATTAGAGGACGACGAGTTTGCCTCTCCTATTAAACCCTTTACTAAGAAGACCGTTTCACAGAGTCATGCACATGTCGAAGGGGAGTTTACTAGGGTTGGTCCTTCTATATGTACAGTAGATGGTCTCGCCGAGGAGGTCAAAATTAATGCTGCGACAACTGGTGCAGAGGAGGCTGATGTTCCACTCCGGACTTTTCATGGCTAGCTTCGTCATTTTAAGGAGATTGTGACACAGTGGTTGGATCTTCTAGATGCTCGTCTTGATGCCTTCGATGGCCGACTTGGACAGTTAGAGCAGTCCGCCGTTCAGACTTCTACTCAGCTTGCTCACATTATATCTTTGCTTCATTTTTGTGGGCTTTACTTTATTTCATAGACATTTGTTATTCTCTTATGAAGTTCCACAGTTTTTGTTTTTGGTGTGTTGTTTGCTGATTTACAGGTGGATGATTGTTGGATTGTTCTCAATTATTGTTAACTCAACCTTTTGTACAGCTTCAGATTTGTTTTCTTATGTCCAATAGGTTGTGTTGGTAAGATTGTCTAGTGCGTGTGTTTTCAGGAAAATTGTTCAAAAGAGTTTTGTCCAGGAATTGACAAATTGGGAGATTGTTAGGTCCCATTATTGCCAAATCCATGAACAAACTCTGTTTTATAGAGTTGTAATTTTTTCTTGTTTTTTGGATTTCCCGCTCGAGCGTGGGTTAAAGCGCTTGAGCGGAAACTTGTTTATTCACACGCGTGTTTTAGTGGATCCGCTCGAGCGGAGTGCGCAGCCCCTGTTTTCTATATATATTTGTTTAAGTCTTATTTTAGGGTTAAGTTTTCCTAGATCTGTTTTGGAAGCTTTAGGGTTTTGTTTTGGGGATTGTTTGCTAGTTTTCCGTGATATATTTGAGTGAGTTTTAAACCTATGATCTGAGATACACACATCAAGGAGTTTGTTTCATCATATTCAAGAGTGTTCTTCTTCGGTGGAATCCAGAGATTCAAGCGTGGAGCATCAAAGGAGTTTGATACTGTGCGTGGTCGTTGATTCGACAATAGAAGTTGTGGATTCAACTTCATGCTAATCAATTCCGAGACGAAGGCTGTGGTAAAAGCTTTACAGAAGGTTTGAAAATAAATTGGATGCGTTTGGTAATTTGTTTGTTATCTTTGTAATCTGTCTTTCTTCATTAGTGGATTGATTAGTGGCGTTTCACATGTAATTTTTTTTATCACAATTGAAGGTGCTTCAATTGTGATTTTTTCACGTAAAAATCGTTTGTGTCGATTTATTGTTTTTCAAAAACAACAATCTAAACCACTTTCGTAAGTGCTTGATAATTTAGATTGTGTGTTTTGAATAATTGGGAATTGGAAGAATTAAATCTTGATCTAATCACGAATCACTTAGGATTTTCATATTTACTTATTATTTGGCAAGAAGCACCATCTTTGCTTTATGGTTTGTATTGAATAATTGTGATTTTTATTAAACTAGATTTATGTTTATTCACCCCCAAAAAAATGTCTATGTTGAATTATGTCTTGTATTAAACAATTGTGAGTTCAATTATACAATTATGAGTTGATTTATACAATTCTTTATCTTGTTTCTTGTCTACAAGTTTATTTGGGTTTTTTATTGTGTGCTTGAATGATTTGGTGACATTATTTATGTGCTTAGAGAAGTGAGCTGAAATTGTTTACGTGCTTTAATGGTTCTGTATTGTGTGCTTAAACAATTGTGAGCCAAAATGTGCATAAAGCACATAGGAAAATTACATAAAACGCATTTCATTCCCAAAACATTCTTTCATTATAATAATTGCTTCAAAGAGCATTTTACACCTTATTCATTGTTCAAAACAGTACCAAGAAACCTTTTTTTACTGCCATACTGTATTTTTCTTCTCTCAAACTTCATGGCCTAACAACAAACCATTTTTCTTGCCTCCAATCAACTTCAAGAAACAAGATTACTATGATAAAGAAAAAACCCATGTCCCAAGTAGAGCTTTGCATTATATTTTCTCTCTTTTACAATTTCTTGCTAGTTTATTCTCCAACCAGTTTATCTTTGCAACCATCTTTGGCAATACCTCATTCCCACATTAGCACATAGGTGGGTATTAACCTATAACAAAAATATGAACCCACAAATTCCTTTTCAAACAAAATTCAATCTTTATTTCTAAAAAAATAAAATTTAATTTTAGCTTACCCTATATCTTGCACAACCATAAAACCTTCTACCCATATTTCCAGATGTCATTGAAGTCTTCAGAAGAGATCTCTCTCTACAATAACATAGTCTTAGAGCATTAGTCTTTAAGGATCCACTTTCGAGAAAATTTCATTTTCACCCCTATGCTTTACCCCGATTTTCAATTACACCCCCAGACTTTGAATAATTTTAATTTTACTCCCAAGCTTTTTGATGTCGTATCAATTTTTCTCCTGTCGTCAAATCTGAAACAGAAAAAGTAAAAAAAAAAAAAATTATTTTAATCTTAAATTTCAAAAGAAAGATGCAAACTCATCAATTTCTTTTCCTCTCATATCTCTCTGTCTCTCTCTCTCTTTTATATTCATCCATATAGCTAAAAATGATATATATATATATATATATATTGACAAGAAGAGCTTGAAAGAAACAGTGCAATGATGTTGTTTGTGGCTTCTGCTGAAACCCAAAAACCAAAGTTCTCTCCTCATCCTCCCCCGCTGAAGAACCCATCGTCTTCATATTTCGAAATCCATGTTTACTGATCAAAGCTGCCCGACATACCCATCTCCAACCACCTACCTCTCTACACTTACTGCTTCCAAAACCTCTCTTAATTCCTAAACAGACCCCGTCTTATCATTGGTTCTACCGGTAAATCCTACTATTTCTTCGAAACCCACTTTGTTTTCCAGAAAGTCACTGTCGGATTATCACTCTTCGACATCAAAAAAGGCGATGTCATATTATGTTTCTCCTTCAAAACCGCGCTGAATTCATCTTCGTATTCATGGATGCTTCAATGATCGACATAGTCACTACCACCGCCAACCTATTCTATAATTTGGCTAAAGTTTTCAAGCAATTCAATGCTTCCAAATCCAAATTAATTATTACCCATTCTCAATATGTCGACAAACTCCATGAATGGTGGATCAAATTTCAGCCAATTTGAATGGCCGCAGCATGCCTTGGTCAAATTTAATCTCATCTTCTTTCACAAACGCAACTTTCAATGGAGCACTCATGTTGATAATCCAGTTTCTCTCTATATAAAACCCAGTTGGGAAAGAGATTAAAGGATACTTGAGAACCCACTTTCTCTCTCTATAAAACCCAATTGAGGAAGAGATTGAAGGACACTTCCCATGGACACTTTCTGCAATTAGTGATCTAGAAGAGAACTAACTATTCTACTTTAAAGCACAGGGGGTTGGCTTAGAAATAGATAGAAAAGCTCTCATCTTCTTGTTTGGCGTTGAAGTGATTGAGCGTTTGCCTTCAATTTCTCTCCAAAAGAATGTAGAAAGTCATGGCAAAGAATTTATGAATCCAATAGTCAAGGGTTCTTGGTGAAAGGTGATGAATAGTATACAACTCTGAATTTTTTATTTTGTAAGTCATCATTGGTTTACCAAAAATCAAATTGAGATATTGAGAGGAGTTTTGTGATATTGAAACTAAGTTGTGTTTCTTACTCTTCTTACTTCAGCCCCTTTCTTACAGCAAGAATAAGTAAAAATTTTGGAATCCGTGAATTTGGGTTTAAGTGAAGTTGGGTTGGAGAATTGAGTGATTGCGGTGGTAGTTAGTGGTGGTAGCAGCACTTGCAAGGGTGGATGAAAGAGAAAGAATTGGAGAAAAGTAAGAGTGGCTGAGTTTGGGAAAGAGAGGATGTGTTTTTGCATCTTTCTTTTGAAATTTAAGGTTAAAATATAATTTTTTTAACTTTTTTCATTTCAAATTTGATGATAGTGGTAAAATTGATACGATTTTAAAAAATTTGAGGATAAAATTAAAATTATTCAAAGAGTGAGAGTGTAAGTGAAAATCGAGGTAAAGTATTGACATAAAAATGAAATTTTCTCTCCACTTTCAGAAGAAAATAAAGAAGTTATTTAACAAATTTGGAAAATCTTGAATTTTCAAAAAATCTGGGAAATTTGGGTAGGAAACAGAGTTTTTAGGCAAATTTGGTTTAAGGTTCATTTTGGTCTTCTTTTGTCTATATATAGTAATTTTGGTTATGTGTCATGTACTTTTTAGTAAAAAAATTGCTACATGCAGCCTTTATGGTGGTGCAACACATTCTCTGTTTAAATGAGCAATTCTGTCCGCAATTACACTTTTGAGTGTTACAAATAAAACTACAGAAGGGTTCATGTTTTTCTATTAAGGAGTTATTTGAGATGACTTAAATAAGTGTATTTTTTGTCTTTTTATAAAAAGATGTGTAGAAAAATAGAGAGATGATTTAATGAAAAAAAGATAAAAAGATAAAAAGATAGATCATTTGAGACTTCCCAAACTTGGCCTAAATAACAGGGGGTAAAGCGTAATTTACTCTTAAGCTTATTTTTTACTCCCATAAGAGATACCACATCCATTTCCATCCAACGGTCCAGATCAAGGAAGAACATCCCTTAAAATGGAACCATCATTGCCTAACACCACCTCAAATCCCTTCAAGAAACACTCACACCTTCCCTCTCTTCATTATCTTCTTCTTTCTAGTTTTTTCTACTCACTCCTCTCTCTTTTCTCTTGCAATGGCCACGGCTTATCTCAGAACACCAACCTTTCAAGCACCTCTCTCCTCACGCCTAGACACCACCAACTCCTCCAAATCTCCAAAGCACCTCACATGGGCTTCTCTAAGACAATCACACACTTTCCCAAATCGTTGTCGTATTCACTATTCTTCAAATTCATCTTCCAAATTGTCCCATCGCAGGCTCAAGTTCTTTCCTTTTGCTTCCTATGGTGAAACCACCGAAACCGATGAAAAGGAAGAGGTTCAGGAATCCCAGATTCAGGTACCCTTTAAAATTCACATCTTTATATGGGTTACAAATATTTTTATGTATGTGAGTTGTATTGTATTATCTCTAGTTTGGTTCTAAATTGTTGTGAATTGTGACCAAGTGAGCTGCTTGATTTGTGTGTGTGGAGTTTGAATTATAAAAAAATTAATTTATTTTTTATTTGCTGATTTTGGGTTAGGTCATGGTTTCTATTCTAGCTGGAGTTACTGATGTTTTTGTTTATATATGAATGAATGTTTTCACATTTTTTGACTTTTTGAGTAGAAAAAGAGAGAATTAAAAGTAACATAGAAAAACCAATAAATAATGATCAATGAATGAATGAATTAATTAATTGAAGGTATGATGAAAAGAATTAATAAATTGATTGATTATATGAATGAATGAATTATAAATACGAAAAGGTATGATGAAAAGAACTACACATAACAGGTGGTGGGAAAATATAACATTATAAATGGAAATAGCATTAGGAAGAGACTCATACTGGTTAGAGGTTGAATCATTCTTCTGTGAAGAATATTGCTGTTCTTGGTACTCTGCGTTGGCTTTGAGTTTTTGAAGAATTTTAAAAAAGGGAGCTTTCGCTGATTTGGATATATAGTTTGAGGGTGCATTTTTTGAATAGTAGGAAGCGTCGATTGTCATCTACTTGGCGACTTCCTATGAAAATCAAAATTCCATAGCATGATAGCAGGGTTATAGCTTCCCTTTTGGCAAATTAATCAGCCTCAAAATCCTCTTAACCACAGATTCAATTTAACTGGAAGTTTGGGAATGGTTTTTTTTTTTTTTTTTTTTAAATAGTGTTTTTTTTGGTTTTTTTTCGAAAATAAGTGCAAAAAAGTAGAGAGAATAGGTTGACTTTTTGTAGTAGTTTTTAAATTTTTTTTTTTTAGTTACTCCCCAAACAACCCTTTAAAGTATCAATCCAAAATTTTGTTTCTTGACCTCTTTATATTCCCAAGTGCATGAAATAGTTTGGAAAAAAGCTTTAAACAAATCATTTTTGTTGAATCTCCTTTGATAATGATCTCGCTAGGACTTATGCTAGATAGACCCCTCAAAGGTTCCATCTTGGGTTCCTGATGGCTTGAATGAACTGTATTGCGACCAATTTTCAAATTTGAAGGAGGGAATATAATCTTACAGCCAAAGCTCAGGTTAACCAGCCGATTTAAGACAAACCTAACGTAATCTATTGGAAAATGAAGTCCAAATTGACAAATTCATCTTAAATAGTATTGCATTTGTGAGATGCGAACTTTGTTTCTGTAAGGTGTGCTATTTGTTGTTGGAGTGACTTAATGAGTAGTAGCAGCAGTGGTAGTTGAGGAAATGCTTGCGGACTTGCATAGTGTGAACATGTTATTTTACAGATTGTCATGAAGAATTCAGAGGATAGGTTAGAACTTAGAACTCATACATACAGGAGGTACCCCTGAGATTATTAATGAATATCAATATAGATCGACGGGATTCGTGGATAATGTGGACCAAGAAGCACAATTTTTTTTTAGGGTTTTTAAGAATGGGCTAGGTTTTTGGCGGAGGAGAAGTTTGAGTTAATTCTTGGTGAAATGCCATAATTGTGACTTGAGGCTTAGGGAATAGGCTTACTTCCCTCATCAACCATGTGTTTTTGCTAGTGTTTAAACCAAAGGCGTGTCAAGCACATCCCATTCCCACATCCGTTTTCAAATTGCAAAAATGGAAGGTCCAACTAACATAGGACCAAATACTTCGTATTCAGTTTTGAGGAGAATAATTACATGTTATTTATCAAGAAACTAGAGTGATTAATGGTGCTTTCTTGAAGATTAAGAATTTACCCAAGACATGGGGGATAGATATAGCATTTTTCTTGTTTTCATTAATGAAATGATTGAGTGCCTTCTAATGCTCTATGTCCTAATGTCGTCTACGAGAAAGTTTTAAGATTGCTTTCTTCTTCTTCTTCTTCTTCTTCTTCTTCTTCTTCTCCCTCTCTCTCTCTCTCTCTCCTCTTCATTTTAATTGGCCTGAAGGAAATTGTATTTAAAGGTAAGTATTTGTGAATATTGTGACGTTGACTTTGTGAAACAAGAGGCCTCGCAATGTAAGCTATAAAAGCTTAAGAAAAGTATATTAAAGGAAGTGGTAAAAATTGGAACGTAGTTGTTTTAAGCTGGAACCCATTTGGAACATTGCGTGTGATTCTATGTTTTAGTATAACTGTATTTTATGTTTATTATCTTTTTGGTCAGCTTTTTAAGACTTCAAAAATTTACAATCCCTAGGACATGGACAGTATTGATTGTCCATGGGTTGCAATTTGGGTCGAGGTTGTTATTTGGTATTCATATATGTGTTTTTAATTGATTAATAAATTTAGGAGTCAAAGTCCTTAGATTTGGGAAAGGAGTATCTTAGGATGCATGATTCTGTCTAGTTTCATATTTTAAATAATTTATGTTACAATGTACAAAGAATAAACCTAAGAAGCTAATAGAATTGTGTTACATGCTCTTGTTTACTTCTCCATGTTATCGGATTGCGTTCTTAGAGTATACTGCCTCAATACTGAGTTGACCTTTGATATCAAACCTAGTCAACAATTAATCTCTTAGAAAGAAGAGAGATGCACTTTTCAAAGGCTAGATCAGGACAAATGGCTGAAAAAATGGAAAATGCTGTTTATTGATACCAGTCTCCCCGTGAACAGACTGCTCAAAATGAAATTGAGAAACCTATTGAAGGACATGACTAACTCATCACTATTATTAGGAGTAAGATCATCTCAAAGGTGAACTTGAGAGGGAGGCAAATTAGTGTCAAGCATATAGAGACCACAATCTTCAAGAAATCATCTTGCACTTATTGAAGGCATGAAGACATGAGTAGGAAGAAAGTTAACTGTTGTTTGAAAACAGAGTACCGTTAATAGTGAAGACGAGGTCTGTAGTAAATTTTAAGCAGGAAGAAAAAATATTAAAGACTTGGAGGAACAATGATGTTTGCCATCGATCATATAAATTATGATGGGTTATATAGGGTTTGAATGCATTTCAGTATCTGACTGAGCGAATTTGGGGCAGAGGGAATCATCCAATTGTGCCTGGTGAAACTTAACAATCTAGTAGAATCAAATCATTGGAATGCAATGTATCATGCTGTTAATAGTAGATTTATGTCAAGAAGAGGCATGATGTGGAACTGGACCCCTACGGCAAGTGTGGTTCTCACATAATAGCACTCAATTAGATCTACACCTTTGGTTTGACACAAAGGGAATTTTTTTCTGTAAAAAAACGTACAATGGAAATTCCCTTAGAAATTTGTAACTGCCTGCATTACTGCATCTTATGCAGAAGCAAAGTTGTTGGGTTGTAGGTGTATTATGGTACTGCATTTTGCACTTTCTTGAGTCTGAACTCTAAAGCTACACATGTACTTGCAGATCCGTGCTAAGAATGCACATAAGGCTGCTTGAATGCAGGATTCAAAGAATGAAAGAACTAATATACCTGATCTGTCGTGAGTCATGTGACCATTTTTCTGAAGTGCTAAAAAGACCCAACGGTCCACCAAAGCTCTTAATAAGACTAAAATTATGATAATGTGTACCATTACATGTGTGCACATTAGCCATTTATATATCTTGCTTCACAACATATTTCCAGCTAGAATGCCATAGTGCAACTATAATATAAATATGCTGTGTGCCAATAATGTTATTTTGGGAAGTTTAGAAGAGGAGCTAATAACACAGCTCATTATTGGGTTCAGTTACTTCAGCATGTGCTCTCATTGAGGATACCAAATAAAGGGTGGTTAGATTCTATTATGAAAAAGTACAGTTCTGATTTTGTTCTGGTCTGACATTTATTTGTAGGAGTATTATAGGGGGAAAAAGTGAAAAAAGAAAGAAAAAGTTCCATAGTAGTGTGATTGAGGCATGCAGGTATTCTTTAATGCAAGGAAGGAGATATGATCTTTAAACTTGACTTGGAGTTAAACCCTTTGTGCTTGTGAAACATCATTGGAGCAAAAGTAGACTTCTTATACAGATGTTGAGTGAATTTGCTAGAGGTTTTGTGTGATTTATCTAGAAGTGGATTTTGTTTCACATGTTTCGTAAAAATATTCAGAAATGAATAGTATGATTTAGTATGGTGGGGTGTTTTTCCTTGGTAACTTAAAGCCAGTGAAGGCATAGGAAGTCTTCCATCCCTCCCATGTCACTGAAATCAATTGTGATTTGGTGATTTTTCTGCGTAGGAGTAGACATGGCTGCACCTGGGGGCTATTTATCATTCATTAGTTATTCAAAGTTGCCAGTGATCTACAGTTGGGTTGAGAACAAAATAGTGAGTTATTGACAACTCTATTTTTTTCCCCACTCTATTGATGATCAGAAGGGCGGTTCCATGTCTGTTCTAAACAATCGACACCAATCTTATGATGCTTCACATATTGCCTGTTTTACTGAAGTAATTGGTTGTTAGTGTTTTTCATTTACATTTTTAATCACCTGATAACAATTCATGACTCTGGTAGCTGAGGTTTCTGAGCCATTTGTTACAATTGCCCTTTTACAAAGGAGGTGCTTACACAGAAAAGATCATAAACATGAACTAGACAAACCTGTTTGTAGGTCTGCATGCTAATTTATGGAATTTCAATCTTAGTGCTAGTAACTAACATATCTACCAGTTCAAAAAATGATTAGTGGAAACATATTGCTCACCTGTTAATATGATTTGGGACAGCACGGGAAACTTAGAATAGTATGGCCAAGAATTGGATTCGTAGTGTTTTAAAGACAAAGGAAAGCAAATTAGCTTAGTATGTGAAAAAGCATACATGGACAATGTTTGTGCCTACAGGGTTGAATAGGTCAAGACACCAATTTAAAAATTAAGCCAGTATTGAATTACTCAAATCAATTAGCTAGTTCCATTATTTCAATTAATCATATGATGCCCACACAATATTATTTTAATAATAAGAACAAGATATATCATGTATATTAAATTAATAATAAGAGTAAGATATATCAGAACACATGATATAAGTGAAAAAATCCCCACGGGAAGAACCACTTGCGATCCTGCCAGTGAGAATTGTCCATTAGAACAAGAGTTTACTTAGAAGACTTGATCAGTTACTTACAACCCCAATCCTTGTCTCATTAACTCACCAATTAAGTCTTAACTCGCAAGTGGCTCCGACCTTGATGACCTTTCTTGTCTAGATCTTTGTAGTGCGGTTCCTATTGCAATGGACCAACATAAGAATGCCCAATACACAAAGAATGAATTAATGAAGTGCTGTGTCTGTGTTGTTTAAGTAGTTTACAATGCCATGTTGATCAAATTAGGCGTATTTTCTGAACACTAATTACGAGGTAGGGTTTTATATTAGGATAAGAGTTCCAACGAGGCTAGGGTTCCGATATCAAGTCTGAGAAGCATTTGGTTAGGAAATAATCTGCCCTATTTGTTGTTTTTAGACAAATAGTTTGACTTGTTTTCCAAAAATTGACGTTGCACTAGAGCTTCCTTCCATAGGGCTTCAAATGGCCCTCACTGGATTTGCATTCTGCAGAATCTGACAACAGCTGCTCAAATGGCCTTCGAGGTATTAATCGGACATCTTTGGACTTATGCTGAGGCCTGCATAGGGCAACTTGCTCTAGCAGCCATCAAACGTGCGGCGCTCTAGGGATTTGTCCAGTAAGCCTTGTTTTGGAAAACCTTAAACCAAAAAGGCTACGTGACTTGGTGTAAGTCAATTATGTGAATTTGTGACATTAAAAACACGTTCTAGAGTCTATATTAATGCAACATGCTGAATGCAAACACCTGATGAATGATTGGAGCATGTGTGCATCATCTCTGAAAGTCTTCAATCTTCATGACATGAACATTCTAACCTATACTATCAACCTAGACACCCTTATAAACACATTGTCTATGGAACTTGCCAACACAAACTATCACTTAACTGCATTTAAATTAATTAAAGAGATCTTATATTCTTTTGGAATTGGAAGAGGTTGGAATTATGGTAAGAAATACTATTGTCTTATTATATCCCTAAAGAAGCGGCACTGTCAACTGTAAATGCTATTTTGTAGGGAACCTGTAGGGAAAATAACAAGAAATTCCTTCCTTGATGAGACTTTTTCATGAACATAGGCTACTCTGATAGAATGAGCATTTCTGAACTCAATAGTTTGTCTTCTTCACTGTTGTTTCTACAATATTTATGACTTTGTTTTTCCATTTATCATGACGGAGTTCTCAACTAAAAGGGGTTCAGGCCTTGTCTTAATTTGCAGTTTAAACCTTTTCTGGAGGGTCAAGGTTCGGTAAACGGAGATCAAAGGAAACTAGATATTAGATATATATGTATATATATGCCTGCTCTTTGTAGTAGTTATAATCTATTGCTTTAGCCAGTTTGATCGTAATACAAGATAATTCAGGTTATATTTTTGGTAGTTAGGATTGGTGGATTCTTATGGATCCCTAAAGGAACCAGACAAATTCTTTTTCTTTCTGGTTCAAGCAAGGATCAAAGAAACCAAATGGATCTATATCAACTATATAGGCTAGAAAATCTATAGCTTATCGATGGTTCTATATCAACACAAATATGATACATGAATGGACACATAAAAAAAGTTTAGGTGATCCCCTTTTAGAGTTGCAACGACATTGCAAAAGAAATATGTTCTTTATTTATTTAAAATTTTTTTTTGTGTGTGTGTGTATTGAGGCAGGGGCTATTTTGGTCTTGTAGAATTATAGGATCTTCTTTTACACCAATGGGAAATTTTCTTATTTTTCTCGAAAGGGAAACTAACAATCGGGCTATACTTGTACAGGAGATGAGGTTACCCAAAAATTAAAAAAATTAAGGTCATGTTTGGTATCGTTTTGAGCAAGGGTGGCCACTTCGCGATATTGTGCCAATTCCAGTTTTGAACTACTTGTAAAAAAAGGCAATCAATCAGAATCAACAAAGAAAATGTAAATACTGAATGTATTTGCAATCCAAAAATCTCTTTCCCAATCCAAGAAAGTCATGTACCCAAAAATTTGAAAAATTAAGGCCATGTTTGGTATCGTTTTCAAAATTTTCATTATTGTTCAGAAACGTTCATTGTTTTCACATCGTTTTTATTTTTATGTGAAATTGTTTCTGAAAATTCAGAAAATAATTTAAAAGTGTCTCTAAAAAATGATTTTTTTCAAAAACAACATGCCAAACAAAATTTTCACATCAGTTTCTGTTTTTCAGAACAGAACAAAAATGATACGAGACATGCCCAAACTGTCTTAGTCTCTTAATGTACATCATTGGTTGGGGATGGCAAGTTTTAATTTCCTTGTACCTAACACCCACTTTACTGATATCCCTTAGTATTGAGATGCCTATAATTACTAAAGCGATTGTGTGGTTATTATTCTACAATTAGTGGTAAATGTTCTGCCACCATGTTTTCTGTGGATATTAGGAGAAATAGTTGCAGTCAAATGGAAGTTCATCAGACTATCAAATTTTATTGATTAGGTTCCAAATCGTCTGCCGTAATTTTACTGAAAGAACTCTTTAAAATGCAACTTGCGAGTTTTTAAAATTGATAGTGGAATTTAAGAATCTGAACTCTTTAAAATCCAACTTGTGAGTTCTTCAAATTGATAGTGGAATTTAAGAATCTAGCATTGTCTGACAAGAGCTCAATAAGTAATTTGTTGACTACTTGTACCAAGAACAGCAACAACCTACATACCAAGTGAAAATTTTAAACATGACATGTGATTTTTGTGGCATACCCATTAAGTTTTCAAATCACCTGGAAATTTTATTCTCTAGTAATTATTTATAAATTCAGTTTTTTTTTTTTTTTGGCACAGTTTTAATGTGCGAAGGTGCTAATAGCCTGAGGAATTGGTAGGTTTTTCATCTTTTTAGATTTAATTTAATTGATTATTATTATTTATTATTTTTATTTTTCATTCGCATCATCTCACTAGCCATGGATGATGATGAGTAACATATTAGGATCGAAAGCATGCATTTACTGACTGACTGGTTTGTAATGTGTCTATTTGTGGCCTTACATTTTTTTTTTCTATTTGTGGCCCTCTGTTCAGTTTCCATTTTCTGTTATTTCCAGGATTATCATGCAATACGTGTTTCAGATGTTTCTTTTGATTAGTGAAATTCCTTAACGAGGAAAAGAAGGGATGGGCACCGTGTCTAAATTTGAATGTCTTGGTGGTTAGTTGTGATTTGAGGTAGAGTGAATTAGCATCAAGATTCATAGTGCATGTATACAAATAATGAATTTCTGCATCCCTCTTTGGTGTGGTGTTTACTTGTGCATGTGTGATTATACTAATGCTTGTAAATGCACGTATGTGGGGCAAGTTTGTCTACATTAATATGCTTTTAATACTATTGCTGTTTTCATTCAAAGGTTTTTACAATGCTTTCAATATATTTGTCCAATGACTTGTGACTCTAAACTAATTGACCCTATAGTTCAGCAAAACCTTGATGATGGGATGTGGTCTCTTCATTTGTTTTCTAACAGATTTATTGAACAGGACAATATAGATGGGGCTGTTGATGAGGAAGATGGTGGAAGTGAGGGTGACAGTGGCGATGCCGAGGAACCCATTTCAGCCATTATTGTTTCACTGAACTCATATAAAGAAGCTTTAGCAAGTAACGATGAGTCCAAAGTTGCCGAGATAGAGGCTTTCCTCAAGTCCATTGAAGACGAGAAAATCGATCTTGAAAGAAAAGTGGCTACTTTGTCTGAAGAACTATCAAATGAGAAGGCTCGGATACTTAGGATTAGCGCAGACTTTGACAATTTTAGGAAGAGGACGGACAAAGAACGGCTTTCGCTGGTAACAAATGCCCAAGGGGAAGTTGTGGAGAATCTGTTGTCTGTTTTAGATAACTTTGAGAGAGCTAAAGCCCAGCTCAAGATTGAGACTGAGGGAGAGGAGAAAATCAACAACAGCTATCAGAGCATATATAAGCAGTTTGTGGAGATTCTGGGGTCGCTTGGTGTTGTCCCTGTGGAGGCAATAGGGAACCCCTTTGATCCATTGGTGAGTCCCTTGGCCTTTCTGACCTATTTTACGTGTGGTGTGCCAAGGACTTTTCACATGTCATTAAACTGATATTTTTTCTACTGTTAACTATACATTGTTAGGTTAATTTCAGTTTTATCTCATAATTTTTTTTCTTCTATTTATCCCTAAACTATCAATTTCATCTATTTATCTCTTAAGTTTTTGATTTCAGTTCATATGGTTCAATGGGAGAATGGCAGTCCAAATTAGTAATGGTGGAAACCTAACCTAAGGGCAAAAAGATAATTTTACAATTTGGACAACCCATTACCTAAATCATACAAATAAATGCCCTTCTTATTACACTATATTAGACAATTTATACCCTAGAACATAACATTCACCTTGTACACCATTCATTTCAAAATAATGAATAAAAAAAATGAATGAATGGTTGTATGATTTAAGTTCAAATTTTGAAATGACCATTTTGTCCATCAAATTAGGTTGTGAGGGATACTGGTTTGGACAAACTGTCTCCCATTGGACCACATTAGTTGAAATTAGAAACTTTAGGTATTAAATAGATGAAATAGAAAAAAAAAAAAAAAAAAATAGTTACAATGTAGGTGATAAAAGTGAATTTCACCCTAAACTATTGTAAGATCAACACCATTGTAAGATCAACACCAAATAGATGGATGATCTCCAATAGAATAATCATTAGATGTATGCTTGCTTCCGGTGAAAATGGTTTTGCTAAAATCATTACCCATTTTACTTAAATGGAATAGTGATTCTTCTATTTGATCATTGGCTTAATGCAGGCTCGTTCCCGAGTTGGCTCGAAATTCAGTCGAGAACTTGATGAACTTTATCAAACACTCTATAAAGCTTGTTCAGGTTTTATGAAGACCTGGATAGGCTTTTAATTCAATCCAAGTCTTGATTGTTTTGAGCCAACTCGGTGAGTTCATTTAATTAGAGCAATATATACATTTGTGAAATAGCAATTTTGTAGTAGTAGCCTAAGTTCTATAACTAGAAAAATAACTTGCTCTTCATTTCGTGGATTAGTAATTTATCATTGGCAGCGAAAGTGGTTGGGAAATACCTTGTTTGCATCCTAAAAAGCACAGACACTTCTAAGAAAATCGACACGACATGACACGCGTCAGGCACTTCCCAACACTTGGATACATATGAAACACATTACAAGTTCGAATAAAATAACTTAAAATTTAATGATAAAAAAAAAATGTAAATTTATGTCTATTTCATCATTTAGACCTAAAATTATTAGGGGAACTACATAGGTGAGAGAAAAGGAAAAAATTATAAACACATGTGGGGTGCAAGTGTGTCTGTGGTGGAGTGCAAATAAAAGGCTATGAGGGTGCAAGTGTCACTTGCATCCTCCCATGTATTGGTAATTTTTTTCCCCTTCTTCCACCTGCATGTAGTTCTCCCAAATTATTACATTAGACTTAAATATTCATATATGACATATAATAATTATTTATCCTTGTATATGACGTATACTACTTATATAAAATTATATATTTTGCACATGTCCTTCATGTGTCATGTCCTATATTTTAAAAAAATTACCGTGTTTGCATGTTAGTGTCATATCCATGTCATTTCACATGACCATGGCCATGGTTGTGTCCGTGTCCGTGCTTCTTAGTTTGCACAGATCGTGTTAATATGTTGCAAGCTTACCCTTTAACTAGGGGTTTCATCATTCATGTTGAATCTCCCGAGTTAATATTTTGTTGTGACTTTTAATCCATTCCTCCAAAATTTCTTTTGACGTATACATTATTTTATTTTTTTGGTTGTAAAAGCTGCATGAGGCCATTATGCGCGAGGAATCTACAGAATTTGAAGAAGACATCATAATTGAAGAATATCGCAAGGGGTTCAAACTCGGTGAGAGACTTTTGCGCCCATCAATGGTGAAGGTATCGGCTGGTCCAGGGCCCTCAGAGCCCGAATCTACAGAGCCATCTGAAGTAGTAGCAGAAAGCGCAAGCGAAACCAAACTTGGTGATGAGGGCAGCACAGAAGCAGAGTCTCCGGGAGATCAGTGATTGATCTAGATTCAGTTTTGTATGAGCTCCAGTAGTGTCTTTTGTTAGGACAAAAAGCCTTGTAATGGTGGGGATGTGTTTGTTTTCATTGATGATATGCTATTGTTCCCAGTTCCAGTTCTGCTTCTGGTTCTGGTCTATAGGAAGGAATCACAGATGGTTTGAGGGAAAGTAGCATTTTGTAATTGTTGTTTGTTGATCAACCGGCGACAATCTCTCTTTTCTCGGCACATCGTTATTGTTTTTTCATTATACCCAATACATTCTTTGCGATGAAATTATTGCGCATAAATTGAAGGGAAAATTTAACTGGAAGGCAAGTACTCTGAATTCTTGAGGTTGTTGACAGAATACATTGAAGAGAAGGCCTTTTGTTGGTACAACATATTTTTCCTTTTTTATTTTTTGATGTGTATGTGTGTGGCAATCTCTAGCTACTAAATGATTAATTGTGTTAATATTTTTCAAACTAAAATAAATTGTTTCAGTGATTTTTTTAAGACTAGGTTGCAGTAACATTATGACAATCAATTCAATCTATTATTTACAAATAAAATAGGATGCAAACAAAATGCAAAACTACTTTAACAAAGGCATTTGACAATCAATTTTTACAAATTAAAAATGGCTCCAGAGAAAAAAGAGGGAGTTTTGACAAAGAAAAACAATATAATTTATTAATATTTTTTTCAAGTAAATATTTTTATATTCTAATAAATTTTATTAATTTGGACATTTGATTTACGAAATTTTAATTCTTATATTTAACTTATTTTATGAATAATTTTATCCTTATAAATATTTTTTTTAATACGTTCACATCATAAAATATTTACATTGTCAATGTGAATATTAATGCGCGTTTCACCTTATTATTATTAAGGGTATTTTAGAAATTATGTCACTCATAGGACTTATTGGAATATAAAAAAATAGGAAAATGCCTGGTAGTTCGAAGCTACCAGGCTCGAGAGGAAGAGAGGGAGAGGGAGAGAAAGAGAGGGAGAGGAGAAAGAGAAGGGAGGGAGAGGAAGAAGGTCGGCGTCGTCGCAGCAATGGATAAAGGATATCCGATTAACTTAATTTTTTATAAATATGTTTTACTTGATATATTCTAAAATGTGAACAGTTCAGATTATCAAAATGAGCCCATTTTGCCGCACAGCAGCCGCTATTGTGCAGCCCGCGTAACAACATCTCCACTTCCTAAGAAAACTCCTAGTACTAAACGGATCAATATTCCCCATATAGAATTTATGAATAAATTTTCCTAAAATATATAGTTCAGTGTAAAAAAGTCAAAAATACTACTTTTCATCTATATAACTAACGAATTACTAATGAAGAATATGTTTAAGTGTTGTGAAAGTTAAAATTATTGATGAGAAAGGTGATTAAGAAGGTGTTTGGCATGCACTATAAAAGTGTATTTTATTTATTTATTATTTTTTTAATTTTTTTTGATTACATTGTTTTTTTATTTTTTGTATACTTTTTTAAAAATAAAAATTAAAAAATATATTTATTTAGATCATTTTAAAATACTTTTATAATTAAGTTGACATGAATTACATTGTTGTATTTTACTTTTTACTTTTTATGTTTGAAAGTATAAAAAAAAAATGAAAATTACTGACGAGTCCTTCAAAATACTTTTACCATTGGAAAAAGATCACTTTTTTAACTCTCGACTTTTAAAATTCTTGTGAGACTTTGAAGAGCGTTATAGAAAAAACTATAGATGCCGGCATTCTGTCGCGTTAAATCGTATTGTGGAATCAAAATCAACTTTATTTGAAAAATAAAGAAAATTTAATCAAAATTCTTTCAGTAAATCACTATTTGATAAAGAACAAGTCAATTTGTTTTTTTCATTAACTTTTTAAAGAGGAAGTGCATATTTAAGTAAGAATAGAATAAAATATCATTTTTGTTCTTGAACAATATTGTCAGAATAATATATTATTATAAATTAAAATAATATGTTATTATTTACATCAATTTCAATTGATAATAATTTTTTTTAATTAAAATTTTTTATAATGAACATAAAATTTAATATTTTAATAATAGTGATATATATTAAATTTTTCAAAATTTTTTTATATTTATTTATGTTATATTAAAATTTTATTATAAGAAAATTTTGACTAAATCTTCAAAAAAAAAAAAAAAAAAAAAAAAAAAAAAAAAAAAAAAAGCACGTGGTTCACATGGAAAGTCCCTCACGATTTTTCTTCGATTGTCCCACATAACCTCGTGGAGGACGCCCTCATTAAGATGGTGGCCACCGTGACAGAAAAGATGGGGCAGAAGAGGCAATTAATAGAGGTGGGCGTAGCGTGGTGTCATAAATATTAAGGTGCGGTGTCGCAACAGTTTCATTTAGTAATTTTTTAGTTATTTAATTAAATTATGAGTTAAAAAATTTAATATGTTTAGAATGTTTTTTTTTTTATTTTTCATAAAAAGATATATAAAAAGTAGAGAGAAAATAAAATTTTTGACTTTTTGATATGAGTGGTTGAGTTTTTAATTTTTTTAATAACTTTTTGATTTTTTGACTAAATGGTCTGGTTCCCAAACAAGACCTAAGTTATTTATTATTTTATATTATTAGGTTGTGTTATTTTTAAGAGTCGGGTTACGTTGCCCAAAAATATAGGGCACAAATAGTCTGAATTTTTTTTTTTCTTTTCTTTTTCCTTTCTCTTCCTTGCAACGTCTTCATCAACACATCTGGCCTCTGTTTCTCCATCAACACATCTTTTTCTCTCCTCTCTCTGTTTCTCCATCAACTGTGACTTCCACATCTTCATCAACACATCTTTCTCTTTCTCAAACACACACACAGTTTCTGAAGAAGAACGAAGAAGAAGAAGAGACAAGAAAACATATCTTCATCAACATCATCATCATCATCATCAACAAAATTTTTTTTCCCTTCATCTTTAAATCCAGATCTGCTAGAGAAGAGAAAAAAAAAAAAAAGTAGAGAAAACAGTCGATCGACGATACTCACCATCGATCTTATGCCGCCATCACCGTCGATCCTTCTCTTCCTCCTCCGCCATCACCTCTTCTCTCCTCTTTCTCTCTTCTCCTCTCTTTCTTTGGCTTCTGTCTCTCTTTCTCTCAAACCTGTTTCGAGGAAGAAGGAAAAAGAAAAGGGAAAAAAAAAAAAATTTGCCAAAACGACGTCGTTTTAGTTTTCGGAGAATTCGGGTGGTGCACTTTCGAGCTCTTACGCATTTTCCTATTTTTAATTCGTAATTAATTTATGTCATGTATGTAAAAAATTAAAAATACTAAATGCGAAGAATTAGATTGTGTTTGGTACAGTTCTGGAACGTTAGTTTCAAAGCTTATTTCTCACATGATGTTTGTTTACGTGTTTCAAAATTTAATTTCATACTCACTTTTGAAAACTCAGTCGAAGGCGGGAAATTTGGACTAATCGGTTGTCCCACTGTCCGGTTGATCGGAACAGTGCAAATTATTTTATTTTTATTTATTTATTTACTTTTTACAATTGACACATGTTAATTTTTATATATACGAAAAAAATATTTTCTGAATTTTTAAATTTTTTTTATGAGTTTTAATAGAATTTTGAGTTGTGTGTTTGGTTATGAATTATAAATTTTTGTATCAAATAGCATATGTCACATCAAAAATTCCCTACTCAATTCAAAACTCTTTCACCAAACAAATTTTCCATACTCAAATTATAATTTCAAAACTCACAAATTCAAAATACAACTCTTACTCTCAAATCATATTTAGAAAGCTCTACCAATCGCTACCTTAATTTCTCCCACAAGGTTAAATCTAATAAAAGTAATCTATACTTGATGAAATTATTTATGTATATATATACATATATATATTATAATTTCAACTCAATTCTTTCCTTAATTTATATAAATTAAATTATGTTATTATATTCTTTTACTAGATTGATTTTAAACTGACAACAGATACGTTATCTTCAATTAAAAAGATTTATATAAATTATATTTTATTTTACATATTTTTTTTCATCAGTTGGATGAAATTACATAAATGATTCAAAAAAATATGCTGACATCCTTTACTAAAAATAATATTAAAATATATAATTAATTTTTTTATTAAATGAATCATTCATGTTCATTTTGTCTAATACAAGTTTGATATTAACTTATTTATATTATCATATCGTCGCCATGTTAGAAAAGGATTAACCCTACTTGGCTAACTTCGTGTGTGAAGTTGCATAGGAAATTCTCACCCTCAGCTTAGAGTGCCGTTTTGGGAACAAAATAAAAAGTCACATTTTTGAACAAAATGTCCAGAAATGCAAGTGTCAAAAACGTAACAAAATTAGTTTGGGAAGTGCCAAAAACACAAATGTAAAATTACAAATTAGGCCTATGATAAAAAAAAATAAAAAAATAAATTTCTTGGTAAGGGTATTTTGGTCATTTTAATTTGATTTGACACCATAAACAAATATTAAACTAAAAATTTAAAAGTTAATTTTTTACCAACTTTTTAAATCACTTTCCAAAAAGCTAAAAAACTTGATAAAAAGCCAAAAGCTAATTTTTTACCAACTTCTCAAAACATATTGTTTGGAAATAAGTAATTTTTTAATTTTTTTAAAAAAAATATACAAAATAATAGAAAAAATAATATAATAATTTATAATAACTTTAATTTTTTAACTAAAATATATAATTGTCAAAAAGAAATCTTTAGTACAGGGCGACTGAGAATTGTAAGCATATTGGTGAGAAAGACCGGGTGCTCTAGGAGGGGAACTGAATAATTTCTCCATTTACATGATATTTGCTCCTCATCTTTTTTCTCTCTCGCCCTATCAAATTCCACCACTATCACTGGCATTGGTCACCACTACTCTGGTTGATGTTTTTAATTGGAAAAATATTAAGAATTTTAAATGTTTTATTAAATATTTTACCAAACATCTCATATAGGTATAGAATTTACACATGAGTTCCATACTTATGTAAAACATTTAATAAAATATTTGATAAAACATTACTCTTTTGGCTTCGAGCACTACCTGACATAGGAGTGATTTGAGAAGTTGATTAAAAGTTGATTTTTTGAATTTTTTTTGACTTTTTTTATCTTTTTATATGTCAAAAATGTAAAAGATAATATGACTCAAAATGAATTAAAACCTAAAAACTAACTTTTTTATTGCTTCCCAAATAGCCGCATATAGGTGATGTGTCCTAGACTGAATAATTTTTCTATTTATATAGTGATATTTGTTCAATTATTTATTCAAAACTAAAATGAAAGTGAT